TACTTATTATAGCCTCTAATAGTAGCGATAGCCCGAGCCCTTTTGTTACTATTATTAATATTATAATCGAGCACTACGCCCTTTAGGGTATTAGAGTTAGAGGATCTAGCCCACGGGTTAATAGGGCTTAAATAATTACTTTATAATAGTTAGAAGCTAAGGAAGCTAGCCGAGGCCCTATGCCGGAGTCTAGTCCGAGCCCGGAGCTACTATAGCCCCCTAGTTAAGCAGAGTCTAAGAAGGACGATACTACTATTATAGTTATAGTAAATATACGTCTTCCTCTAGTTCTTTTTTACTAATAAAAAATGACTAACTAATAATCTTTTTTTTTTTTTTTAGCCCGAGCCTAGTAACGAGGAGTATATCGACTTAGTAAGTGCGTAGCTAGAGTAGTAATAGTAATAATAGTAATAATAGCAATATTACTAATAGCAAAAGAAGACTACTAAAAGCCCTAAAGGGCATTAGTAATACTACGATAGCTATATACTAATAGTACTAGTACTATAATAATTCCGAGGAAAATAATATAGGTTATAATAATATAAAAAAGGCGTTTATAACATTCAAATTAATATAATACCTATTATTAATTATATATTTTCGCTTAATATTACCGTTACTTAGATTTATATAAGAAGAACATAACCTACTTATAACTCCTAAAACTCCTAATAACTATCCTATGACGATTATTTAAGTAGTAACTATCGTATATATAGCTACTACTATCAATAGTACTTTGAGCATTATAAGGGAAGCGACCTGCCCCCTCCTCCTAGTAAGGTAGCTCACGGTAGAGATCGCTCTTACGAGTCTAGAAAAATTATAAAGAACTGGATATTTAATTTAAAGTAGACACACAACCGTAACACTAAGGATATAATATTTTCTACCGCGTCTTAAAGTATTTTATAAGGAGGTCGTAGTAGTTATTAGAATATTAAAGGCAGAAAAAGGGGCTTCCGAAGGCGATCGGGCCTGTATAAACGGCTCTTCCACATAGTTACATTCAATAGAGAAATCGTAGACTCTGCTCACCATCATCCTCTTCCCGTATACGAACGCAGTTCAGTATAAGATTATTCGACTTCTCACAGGCCGAAAGGCTTTGCCCTGCTTACGTGTATACCAACAGTAACAGAGCAATATGTCGTGGTGGATCACGCACCACAGTGATAGTCACCAGAACCCTGCATTTGAACCAGTCTCTAACCAGCCTTCGCCCTTCAATCCAATGCTTTAAGACATTGAAGACATTACCTCCTCTGCGAGGTCAAGTAGAGCTGGTCTCATATTCCGGAGGCGCGTTCACTTCATCTTATTTCGAACTGTCCCAACTCATGATTTTTAAGTACCTTAGCCGGAGAGCGGCAAAGTGAGAGAATCATCTAGACAAAAGATTCAACAATTTTTGCGATGTTGTTGCATTTTGATGGCGATTTCTGTCGAATCATGTGACGCAAGAGCAAGTGTAGAATCCGAGATGCTCATTTGTCTCCGCTTCACTGATGGCAGTTCAAGTTCTGTCCCTATTAGTATCTTTTGTTAAGTTCTCACAGTTCAGAAAGGAATTGGCACATCTGAGGCCATTCATCTCTTTGCATCGTCTCACTTCAAGCCGTGACCATTTGCTGAACCAACTTAGATCTATCTTCCAATGCAATAAATATGTTACTTTGTAGATGAGCAAGTAAACATAATAAACACTTCAAACTCGCGGTCGACCGTCATCTAAACCCGCCATGACAGCCGTGACTTTTGTAGATGATCACTTGCATTTAAGATGAATGGGTTCTCGACAACTACAGCACGCCAGATATTTCCTACAACTAAAGGATGCCTCAGACCCCCGTCAACGATGAGTATACTTAAGGGTACGCCTGACCGAGGCGACGGCAACTTACATCTTGACACTCGGGTCCACGGCTACATTTAGGTATCCTACTGCAAATCTGTCGTTTTCTAATGAGAGATCAGCAAACGAGGTGGTTTAGAGGCACAGAACCCAACGAATCTCGAGCTTGTTTGGAATAGTCCGGCCTTGAGCCAGCATCTATGCTGCGAAAGTATTTGTGACTTGAAACACCAAAAAGGCTGATGAGAAGTGCTGGACTCAGCATTGAGAAATACGCTTCCCGTTGCTTTCTTCTACTGAAATCACACCTCCAGACAGGAGAGTCGCCTTTGGAATTACACTGGGTTGGTCACAATTGACTGATCTCCAATGAAATTGGGTGGTGAGTGGCTTAAAATACAGTAGCCAACTGCTAGTAATTGTCATTCCTTTGGTGTCCAGTCTTCACTTGGCCCGTCATCAATGAAACCAAGGGGTTTCGCACGCCTAATAGGAGCACGGTTAGACCGTAATCGACGTAGAATCGCCCCCGAGGAAATGAGAGCTTGAATCGTTGGTCGCAGAGAGACGAAGCACAATGATGAAGATGGCGAAGGCCGATATCAAGGTAGCGCAAGCCCTTACCCTTAGGGTTGGTGGCCCGGGTTGATGGATGTGTGCGACAACCATTAGGAAGGCTTTAAAGTAAAGCTGAGAACTTAGATGATCATTTACATGTTTTCTCTGACTTCTGTCTTGCCCGCACCAGAGACCTCGACATTGTCTATTTGCGAACCTTAAATGGGAAGCGTCAAGGCACTTGTGAATGTTGAATCATGACGCAGACCGTGACAAGCTTTCTTCAAGGCTTCCTGAATGACTGTTCTTTAAATTCTAATGAAGCTCATTAAACGGCTGCGTGCCTTGTCGCAAAGATGATTCCTGTTCCACGGGGCCATTCAGGGTTTGTGCCTGGAACGACAATCTCAAACGCCTCAGGGCCAACGGCTGGTAGAGTCTGCGTTTGGCTGTGTGAGCCTGGATGAAGTCCATTATGTTAGAAAGCTCGTCGAAATTTCCAGTGCAATTCCTGGGCTACGGAGCTCTGACCCTTGGACTTGATGTTCGTTGTGTAGAATTAGGATGGATGTGGCCTGTTCGAGACACGTAGGCGATCCAGAACACCAGTATGTGGCTGGTCAAGTCTCCGTGGAGAGAAGCAGAGGAGTGTTGATCAGCCAGAAGTACCAGCTTGGGAATCGGGAGAACATACCCTCAGGCTGTTTACTTGTGGACGGTGTCACCAAATCGATCCCTCGTTTTGAACACAACCCGATGGAACTTGATCTAGTACATGGAGCAATGTGTCCCCCAAACGTTTCACATGGGCCTCTGAGGGAGTCGACTATGTCCGATAACATCCATGTTTGCTTCTGTCTTTGTGGTTTTAGCCATTTACTTGAGCGGTACATAAAGTCGGGCAACCGCTGTACGTTAGTGGAAGCTTGCTCTGATTTATTTACTCCTTCACAAAGACCTGGAAAGAAGGCGCCAAGTCACTGAATTCCAAAGCTCTCCTTTTGTTGTAGTCGATATCTGCGGCGGTATTCAAGTCGTCGGATCCAAGCAGGGCGATGCAAAGTTCAAGATACACGCAATAGGAGCTGTAGAGGAAGTCTGATGCAATGGCACTGGGCTTGACTGTCCTGCATCACGACTGTGTGTGGATTGCTGCGTTGCGATTATTCATCAGGCTAAGAAGCGCCTCAGGACTGTGTGTCGGCCAAATGGCTGCTTTGACAAGAGATAAGTAGCTATCGGGGCCTATCTCGGAGAAAGATTTGCTTGACCATGTGTATAACAACATTTCGAAAAGGAACGATGATTGTAGCCATTGTGAATAGCACGTAGCAACTATTGGCTGTGAGATATTATAAGAAACACACTCTCGGTCCTCTTCTACCCAAATCGTCCTGGTGGAATCACCGGCGAGCGATCCCAGGGACGGGAGGTTGACTGGTCAATGGAACTGTGTGCTCGCTCGTCCACATTCTAGGCCGTAATACCCCGTATCAGACGGCTTCGAAAGGCATCCGGTGTGGCACGGCAAGTCGTGTATGGGCTGGTCTTGCTGGCATCTGCGACCAGACTTAGACGAAAACAAGAGGTGGGGGTGTCTACCCAAGTCGAGACGTCAGTTGATTCGAAAAGCACGCAGCGTCGACCTCAGGTGGCAGAGAAGGAGGACTGACGACTTAAACCCCGTAGCGCAGTTGCCACGCTTTAAGCCTCCATGTCAAAGTCAAACTTTGCGTCAGGTTCAACGTTTGTATTGTCTGTTCTTCAGGGCAAGGAATTCAAGTGTCGAGGGTGGAATGCTGTCAATAGGTGTATGACACAGGGAAGAAGGTCACAGAGGCCAACTGCTGTTAGGGTCTAGAAGATGAATTACTGTAATCTGCCCCCTCCCTCGAAGTGTACTCTCAGCGCCCTATATGTACCCGAGCTGCTCCTTTGTTGCTTGGTCCTCCTCCTGTTGTCCCTTATGCTATCCCCTATCCGGGCAGAGCCTGAAAAATGCGTTGACAGTCGTCCTGATCCATCAAAGATTCCAGCTTGAAAGCCTTTCACGAGGATGGGGACGATGGGGGGATGGGAACGATCAAGTCGGGGTTGAACTCCTTGGCGATGGGCATGATGATCTTTTGGAAGGCGGCAGTGTACTCGCCATCCCCCATTCCCTGATCATGCCATACGATTTCGAATTCTTTCCCAATCCAGGCCCTGTACCGCAGTGCTCGAGGCCTCCTTCCGGTATTTCTGCATTCTCTGGTGGTCCGGGGTGGAATTGTCCGTTTTGGTAGACGTGAAGGGAGATGTATAGAGCATTTAGGTTATACGAGGACGAGGAGAATGAGGAGGATAGAGAGGATGAGGGGGACAGGGAGGACGGAGAGGATGGAAGGGATGGGGAGGATGGCGATTCAATAAGATGTTGAAGTGCATCCTCCAGGATCTCAAAAGCTGGATGGCGCTCAGTGTACGTCGCGTCCAGGTGGCCTGACGATAAAAATGAAGAGCAATGTCGCAGGATTTTGCGATACTCTCTGAAGTGTGAAATGTTGAGGAAGAAACAAGGAAGGAGAAGCTCCCAAACCATTTAAGGTGGAGGTGGATTGCTGAGCCCAGAGACTATGGTGCTATTGCCCACGAGACTGGCCGATGGGTTTGCGAGCTGCAGAGGAGAAGAAAACCGTGAAGTCAAGAAGTCGGGAAACTGGGGAGTTGAAGACGGGATGCTGAGGCTGATGAGGAGCGGCGGCGACGGTGATAGACCGGCATTCCATGTGGAGACCGCGAGAGCTGAGTAGATTGCAGAGGTCTCCTGTGGCGGAGGCTCGATTGGGTCGTTGCTATCGTCACCGGCCTGGAGATTGAAGGCGGGGTTGAATGCTAGGTCATCTGCCCGGATTGCCCACACGATGTTGTTCGCCGCGCAGAGGGTGTTGTTGTTTGGGGCGGACATGACTATGCTCGGAAAGCCCGGGCGGGTGGGACCCCTTGAGGGTTCTACCGGGGGATCTGAGGGTTATGCTGCCGAAGGCTTGAGATTTGGAAGATTGGTCAATGGCCACATTGGAACGGTGGGTTTTGGACGTACGGAACAATCTCGGCGCTTAACGGCACCATTGTCTTGACGGTCATCGTCTCAGGGATCTGACGGTGTCCCATGAGACCCATCTCCAGCAACAGTTTGTTCACCTGGTTGACCAGAGCATCGGATTGTCCTCCCTGGAATGCTCTCAAGTGAGGGCGTGAGTGCCGGCCAAATGTTTGCAAACGATGGGAGTGTGTTATGCGAGATGTCTTATCTCTCCGCCACGAGTCACTCTTGCCGAGGTCCTGGCGCATCTTCAGCTCAATAGCATCAACGACGCCGGTATCCCATGTCGCCGTCTTGTTCTCGTCCCATTGTCAGTATGAGACGGGGCACCAAGTAATGAGCGGTCCGTGGCGGGTATCTGTCATCCACTATGTTGCGTGGTGGCTTACGAGACTGTCAAAGTGGAGGATTACAACGACTCAGACCGAGTCGTGGACGAGGATGCTGCAATCAGTTTAGAGACGGGGTATCAGCTCGTTATTTGAGTGGAGGTAGTGAACTCACGGTCGGCATTGGAGGAGAGGAAGCGTCGACGGTGCTGGGAATACGGAATGATGGCAGAAATGCGAACGCAACAGCAGAAGTCGCGTTGCTTCTTGACCGTTGGGACGTAATAGGCCATACGGTTGCCACCGATTTACTAGATTGCATCAGAAAGTTATCAATGGTGGAACACACGATGTTGTGATGAGAGGCTGGCAACATACCGTCGAGCTATTGTTGCGGCATATGGTGGCTGAGGATCGATGATGAAACCATGCTACGAAATTAGACAGTGATGTGGCGAGAAGAAGGTAGTGTCAATAGGTATGTGACGCAGAGAAGAAGCTCATAGGGGCTAACTGCTATTAGGGTCTAAAAGATGAATTACTAAAATCTACCCTTCCCTCGAAGTATATTACTAACGCTTTATATATACCTAAGCTACTTTTTTATTACTTAGTCCCCTTTTTTATACTCCCTAAGCTATTTTTTAACTAACAAGGCCTAATTAATAAGGCTTAATAAAATACTCCCTTTTCTAAGCTTCGTTTTAAAACTTATTTATAATTTATATATACTATATTAATTTTTTATTTAAAAAATCTTTAGATATATAGTACGAGGGTAAGTATAAATAGTACTTATTAGCTTAAGTATAAACTCCTTATTTTAAATAATAATTTTATAATTTTATACCTAAGTTACTTTTATTTATAGGCCGTCCTTATAATTATTAATATTTAAGTAGTCGTCGTTTTACTTTTATTTACTAATATTAACCCCTTTTTAAATTATTATAATTCTAAATTCCTTTTTTTTTTATTTATAATTATTTTTTTTATATATAGTTTTTTATTTTTATTAATATTTACGCTACTCTTTTATTACGTAGATATTATAGTTAATAAATATTTCTTAGATCCCTATTTTTATATACTCTCTATATTTAAATAAGTCTTTTTTAAAGTTATTTTATAATTATTACTAACTCGTTTTAATATAACTATAGCTTCTAATTATAATATTATTATTATTAATAATAAAACGGTTATTAATATTATAAGTATACTTAGTAATAATAGTAATAATAATTTACTTAAAAAGCTTAATATCTCCTTTACTCGCCCTAATTTCGTACGTATATTACTATTTATATACTATTTATACTAACTATTATAAACTCTTATTAAAAAAAAAAAAAGCGAACGTTAAAAAAATTAGGGTTAGCTAAGTACGTCCGCTCCCTTACCCTGCTTATGTTATATATAAAGTACTTAATTTAAAAACTAAGTATTATAATTAGCTAAGTTAGTAATTTATAACCCTTAGTTCGCTCTTTTATTTAATACTTTTTTAGGATTTAGTATACGTTATATTAAGTATATTACGTAGAACTATTTTTATAAAAATACGGTAAGCGCTTAATACTATTACTATTTTATTATTTTTTTTAAGTATTATATTAATAATATTTTAAGTCCTTAAGTTTATAAAATTTATAATACGAACTCTTTAAAATACTATACTTATTTTTAATAATAACGTTTATAATTTAAAAGTTTATTATTTTATTATTATTTTATTATTATTATTACTTAGGTTATTAATATTATTTTATAACTTTAATAAACTTACTAAATCGTTATTAATAATATATAAAGGGTACTTAAGTACGCTAATAAAAAGGCCTATTTAACTTTTATTATTAATAATAACGATAATAAAGTAACTATAAGCTCTTTTTATATTATATTTTTATTTTATAACGACGCTATAATCGTATTACTTCGTACTATTTTTAACAAAGTATACCGCTTTAATAATATTTTAATTAGTATATAGTCGCCCCGCTTATGCTCTATATTTATAATTGATTATTTATAAATTTATTAATAATAAAGAGATTATTTTTTTTATAACGACCCCTAGGATAATAACTAAGGTAGCCCTTTTATATATAAAGGCGGTTTTTTTATAAATAAGGGCGGTCTTTTTATATATTATAAAAATTAAAAAAACGGTTAGTAATTAGCGCGTTTATACTACTTAGTTATAGTTATATAGCCCCCTTTTTTTATTATTAATAACTAGTTTACTACGTTATTAAGCTTTTTAAAAGCTAGGGCGCGCTACTTAATTAAAACTCGTTTTTTATATATACTAATTAATACTACGTTTTTAATATACTTAGCTAGCTCTTACGTATTTTTATTATTATTATATCCCTTTTACTAAATTAAGTATTATTACTTCTTTTTTAGCTTTTTATATTATATAATATTTTCTATTTTATAAAATAGCTCCCCGTTTATATTTACAATAAATAAGGGCTTTTAAGGGGCTTTTTTATAGTATTAATATAGCTCGAGTAAGGATATATAGAATATATTATATATTTTATATTACGTTAATACGTTTAGTTAATAAGTAACCCCCGCCGTTCTAATTATTAATTTAATTTTAAATAGGCCTAAATACTTATTAACTAACTTTTAACTAGGATACTACTTCTTAATATTCTTTTTTAATAATAGTACTTAGTTACTTATTTTATATAATATATTTATTTTAGTTTTATTAACTTATTACTTATATAGTGGTTTTTTTTCCGGCTTTATAAATATAAAAAATCGACCTTAACGGGATTACGCCTTTAAGGGAAATTATATAATATAATATACTTTTTAATTATATAATACGTATAATATATCCTAAGTATGCGCTTAACGTAATATAATAATTTCGATACGAAAACTGCTATTTAGTTCGGGATAAGTAAGCTACTCTTTTTAATAATAACGCTAGCTAAAAAGGTTAATAATAAAAGTTAGCTATAATAATTAGCTATATTAATTAGCTATTATAGTTAGCTATAATAGTTAGAAGCGGCCTTCTTTAACTATAAAGGTTCTAAACTTTAATAATAATATAGAGGTTTTTAGAAAAAGGGCTAAATAGGCTAATATTTATTACTTTTTAAAACTCGTAAAGATTCTTTCTATCCTTATCGCTTCTAATATTGCCTAAAGCTACTCTCTATTTAAACTAAATAAATTTATTAAATAAATCTACTAAATAAACTTATTAATATAAAAACTACTACTTTAATAAGAACTTACTCTAAAAATACCTATTAATAAGTCTACCCCTCTCGGGCTAGGCGCCCTTTTTAGCTAGCTCGACGCTATAATTATTATAATTAATATAAGTACGCTTAAGAAATAGTAAAGTACTTTTTAGTAGTACGGAATTTAGCTAAGTAATATTATAAGTGCTATAAATAGCTAGGCCGGTATAAATATTAAAATCTAGTATATTAATACTAGCTTAGCTATAATAACTATAATAAACGGGCTAGAGGTATATAGGGTTAGAGTAATAAGCTAGTACTTTAAATAGCTCTTATAGGACCCCCTGGGTAACAATAATACTTATATAAAAAAATAAATTATACTAGACCTAGCTACTTACGCGGGCTAGTACTAAGAGGTCCTATATACGTTAGAGTAGGTAAAGCTTACCCTATAGGTAGCTAGAACTTAAGAGGACTGCGGCGGAAGGTTAGGAGTTAATAAAAGGAAAATAATAGTCGAGTTAGTTAACTACTATTTTAATTAGTAATTAGGTATAGAGCGCAATATACCCAGTTTTCCCTAATACGTAATACATAGTACGGCCCCGGCAGATTGCTCCGTTAGGGGGAACTTATTACTTATATATTTTACGTACTTTTTATATAAAAGGTTATAAAGCTTTTTAATTAGCTCGTAATTAAGCTATACGCTCCTTAATTAAAATATTTTATTTACTATTTTAAGTACTTATTAAAATCGATATAAAGTACGTAAATAAAAACCTAAGTAGGGCCTTAGTAAGCGCTTTATAAATTACTAAGTACTAAGCGTTATTATATATAAACTTAGCTAAGTAAAAACATTATACTTAATTCGATTAGTTTTAAGTATAAAAATAGTAAAAGTACTATTTTAAGTATTAATTTTACTATTTTATTTAACTATCCGTTTATAAATAAAACGTAGTACTAAAATACCTCTTTATTATTAAAAAATAGTAGAAATAAGTTTAAAACTTATTTATAAATAACGACCCCTTATTAAAAACGATCCCTTTAAGTATTTTAAACTTAGTAAAGATTTTTATAAATAAAAGGTTTATAAATCCTTAAGTTATAAGGGTCGTCCTCGTAATAATATAAATATTATACTTTATAAATTAGTTTATTATAATAAGCATTATATTATAAGGGCGCCTCCCGATTAGTATAGTTAATATAAATAAGCTTATAATAAAGTTTAGTAATATTTTTTATTATAGTCTAATTAGGGTAGGTAGGGGGCATAATAAACTATATAGCTTATAATAACAAGGTTTCGTTTATTAATATATTATATAAATATTAATGTAACTTTTTATATCCTTATTTACTTTATTTTAATAATAATAGCGTTTTAATAGTATTATTATTTATTTAATATTATAATATCTTATTATAAGTATATTATAATATATTTTAATAACCTCCCTCCTTAGCCCCTTATATAGTAATATATAAGCGTAGCTACCGTAATATAATAGCCTTTTAAAATCGTATACTTAGCTCTATTATTAATTTTTCTTAGCTAAATAAGGCCGTTAGTTTTTCTTAATTTACTACTTATTTTTTATAAAAGCGTTCTTTTATTAAGCGGCCCGTAATTAACTTATTATTAATAACCCCTCTTTACTAAATACTATTTTAAATACTCTTATTATATTAGAGTTTTATAAAATAAGTAGTTTACGATTTATAATTTTAATAATAAACTTAAGTAGCTTTTTTAATATTATATTATAATTTTAATACCCTAAGCTTATAGCCCCGTTATACTTTTTAAAATACTTTTTAAAGTTTTTTTAAGCTAGAGCTCTTAACTTCTTTTACTTACTTCTCTATATTATTACTAATTATATTTTTAAAATACTTATTATTTTTTTTATTTAAGAGCTACTCTTATAGCTCGTTTTTATAT